AAAAAAGAAACTACAATACATTGAAATTTTAAAGCCATAACAACTCCCAAACCAAAAAGACCTCATTCTCAAATCTGAAGATGAGACAAACCACCGAATCTCAGACTTAGTATGGGTGGCTTGTGCACTTAACACAAGAGCCATATTTGGTCCTACCAAACCTGATACCAATCCTCAGCCCAATCCTGAAGAATGCTATCAGCTGTTTAAGAATTTGTACTCTAATTTCTCCCAGTGCTTCACAAACCCACACTAGCTGCCAAACACACATCAAGCCCCAACCAAGGAACTAACTGAACCTACATCTCGGGGGACCCAGGCTAATGACACATGTCGGCATTTTAGAAAACAGTATTTCTTGGACCTGAAATCCCACTTATTATTTAAATCACATCCCTACTATAATTAACTAGCAAAGCTGAAACTAAATCGGGCAGATGGGCCAGGCTTCCAGCCAGATGCTAAATGTCAGAATCACACCATCCCAATTCCAGCCCAGTCCAGGCCCAGAAACCGCAGGCTCGGGAGTCTTGCAGGACAGCAGTGACTGCACCCTGGTGGAGATCCAGGACACACATTTCAGTAGCAGCAGCATCACAAGGCCTCCAGGGGTTCAGCTACACATGTGCCACAGGGCTGCAGTTCCTGCACTCAGGCAGGGGAGGGTCTCACCTCCAAGTAAACTTAAAGAAACAGCTAGATTCTCTGGTAGATAGCTCTGCCTATGGAATCTGGATGACACATATTATACACATGTGAATGGCATAACAAGCAGTTTTGGAAATCTGCATGCAAGATGAAGCAACGGCCTGATCAGGTTATGGAAGCATTTATTCCTGATTCTGTGCAGCAGGATGGGTCTCCTTACACACAATTCCACACCCCAGCAGAGCTTCTCAGCCTTTGAGAGAGCCCTCCCTCTGCCTCCGCCGCACTGCCCGCGTCCAAGTTTCACATATCCTAAGGGACTTCAAAAAGTTTGTGGAAAACAGAATTAAAAGTTTATTTTGGATTTTGGAGCAGAAAAGTTTTCAAATCTATGCATAGTTTCTTCATAATACACATTTTCCATGAACTCTTTGAAGAGCCCTGGTTTGCATGGTTTCAGCATTTTTTTCTTTTTGCACCAAAGTAAACTTACGTCTTAATTCCATTTTCCACACACTCTGAAGCGCCTTCACATACCCCAGCTAGGGAGTCAGAATGCCTATCCCACTTGCAAATCACTGCTCTGGACAAATGTAATAAATACCGCGACTGTCCCAAGAACTCCAGCACAGGCCTATGGCTACGGACGCGTGCAATTCTTCAGGGCGGTATTGAGATGATTTGGAGAAAGCCTCCTAGAGAAAGGAACGTTTCACCAAAATTGGAAAGGCCGAAGGGCTATGATTTGATGGAGGAAGTGTGAAGCTATTCTTGGAGTCTGGAACTTCCTGCGCAAAGGCTCAAACACAGAAGAGAGAGACAAAAGAGGCAGCCGATGTTGGGGAGGGGGCAGGTGCTGTCCCGGGACATTTAATGAAAAAGCAGGAGCAAGGCTCCGAGGTAGGATGGAGTTAATTAGTAATGGAACGAGCAGGCCCTTAGCATTCCTGCTAGGATAACCGCCTGGAAGCTGTGAGGCTCAATATTCCAAACAGAGGCCAGCTCCACTGAAAATCCAACTCACATTCTTCAGATCCTTACCACCCTAGCTGAACTATACCATAATATTGTAACAATCAGTGCTAATAACGAATACAAGCCACTGCTACGAAACAGATTTTTCTTTTTCCTCCAGAAAAAGAGCCTATGTATGTCAAATATTGGCCCATGAACAGAAAGTATTTGCTAATTAACTTAAAAAAAAAAAAAAACCACTTGTCACAATTCAGTTGGGCCGGTCTAGACGGTAAGCAACATAAAGTCTTCACAGCGTGAATGGCAAACAAGAAGCAATGCCAACTTTCCATCCTCATTTTAGCAGCATAACCAATTACCTTGATTTCTAACATTAACTTGTTTTATTAAAACTTTGAAACCATAAATCAAATGACATTCACCTTAAACGCACGGAGACAATGGCTGGCTAGCACTCAGTGAAGCTAACAGCCCAGGCAGGGCCGCTATCAAGCGCCAGGAGGCCCTCACAGGGAACTCTGGGTATGAATAAAGTCCCACTGTGGAGAGCCCATCGACCTAGCGTACAATGGGAACCGTGCCCTGGACTTGTGCAATTTGGAGGCCCCGTTCTGTCCAGAAAAATTACTAAGCAATTGGCTTTTTTCAAGGGAAGGCAAATTCAGAGACTGGAGCTGGAAGGCAGTCACTCACTTTGATTAAGCACTATCTCTTCATGCTGTGAATGTGGATACTGCACTCCTCTACGGAGCAGATTTATGGCCAAGACCAAGTAAATGCATTGCATTCATTTTCTGCGTTTCTCCCAGCCTACTGTTTTTAAAAAGTCAGTAAGGAATATTGTTTGCAAGTTTCACATTACTGTAATCATGAACTAAAATATAAAAGGAGCTTTTCAAAGTTCGTGTTGGTCTGTTTTGCCAAAAACAAAACAGAATACCCCTGACCCCCTTCCAAACTTCCCCCTTCCCCTGAGTTACGGGTAAATTTATCAGCTTCAACCACACCCCACCCTCCGGTGGGATTCGGGAGCCCAGGGCTGGCTATTTACAACACAGCATTTAAAATAACAAGGCATCTTATTGTAAAAGCATTCCCCTCCCACCAAAAGAAGGTCCCTCCTACCAACCCTGTGATTTGCTAAGGGCAGAAGTATGTACAGCTCCAATTTACACCCTTCCCATCTAGACGCACAGGCTAGAGGACTCCCTCCTAGTTCTGTTATTCTAATAATTCACCTTAATAATTTTGCAAGACAGCCGATACTCAATTTTAACTGCTGGAACTTTTGAAATTGAATAAATGTTCAGCAACTGATTTTCAAAGGAATGCTGGTATACTCATTAAACAGTACTTTCTATAGCTGGATAATGAGAAAAGTTTTTAGGAGGCTGAATAACGTAGTATTTTATTTTGTTAATTATGGTTAATTAGAAACAGGCTTTCTAAACAGTTTCTGCATTCTTATTTCAGAAGATTTATTTCTGTCTTATCACAACAGTTACTAAAGACTTAAAACCTACAAATCAGCTTAGTCTTATTTAACACTCAAATATGGTCAGCATCATCCAGAGACTGAAGCTGAGAGTAAACCAATCTCCGGAGCAAGATCTACGTACTACAGATTTCCTAATAAACAGTCTCAAGTTACTTTTTTCCATATTAGGGGGAACGCCATTTACGAAGTTAAAAATTCTAACAGAACATAAATGTATGATCATACCTATTTTGTGACTTCCCAAATTTCAGTATATTTAAATCCTACCAAAATATGGCCAAACTTTCCTTTAAAAGTGTATCTGCTTGGGTACTTTACAAAGGAAATTCTTCCGGTTATTAAAATGACTTTTTTTAATCTCCCAGCTATATACTCTCAGGCTTAACAGCTGTAAGTTCAATAATTTTCCAAAGCCTAGATTTTTAAGAACACGCTCACTTACACGCTAGCAAAACCTAAGTTCTCGCTCAAACTTTCTGTCAAAAAGATCGACACAGACAGTTCTCCCACGGGGACGCCTGCACAACAGCAATTCTCATGAGCGGGCCTCAGAACGGGGAGACCTTGGCACACGCTCGCCGGCCGCCCCGGCTCCGGCCCGGGCCCCGGCCACTCTGGCTCCATGGATGAAAGCTTTGCTCCAGGCCTCCTGCCCAAGCCCGCGCCGGCCCTCACCCCCGAGGACAAGCTCTCCAAGTCGCGGGGGTAAGCAGGGGCAAAAGCGGCCAGCAAGCCGGGAATTCGCTCCGAAGCCGCATGCCCGGAGCGCGGCGAGGAACTAACTGCAGGTGAGGTTGCATCAGAAGGGAAAAGACGAGTCCTAGGAAGGTGTGCTAAACGGAGCGCACCGCACGCACGCGGCTCACGCAACGGCCGCGCTCTCACTGCCACCACGGCGGTCCCGCAGCTGCGGCCGCGTCCCGCCCGCCCAGCCGGGGCCACTCGCCGGGTACGCCGCGGGCGCCGACCAGGAACTGCAGGGCAGGGAGGGCCTGGAGCCCCCAAGTTCGCCGCCGGCCCTACGGGGCGCGGCGGAGAGGATGGCGAGAGAGCGCAGGGGCCGGCGCACCCGCACAGGACCGTGGAGGGCCCGCGCGGGCGGAGGGCGCCCCCGTGGGCCGTGGAACGCCGGCGCGGCCTCCGTGGGACCGGCCGGCCGGCGGAGCCGACGTCGCTGAGGCGCAGCTCAGGGGTGGCGACGCTGGCGTGGCCCGCGTGCCCGTGGGCGGCTGTCGGGTGGGCGACGGCTGCGGGAATGGTGGCCTCGTGGGACGACGGTGCTGCCCGGACGCTTTGACCCGGGCTCTGTGGTGGGACAGCTGCACGGCCGGCCGCGGGGTCTTGGGGCTGACGGGGGCGCCGGCCGCGCCATCTGGCTAAAAGTCGAGTCCTTCGGGACTGTGGAGGCGGAGGCGCGCCCCGCGCGGACGGCCTCTAGGGTGACCCCGCGCGTCGCGGACGCCGCCTCCGCCCCACCGCTGGCGCACAACAAAGCGGCGCGGCCCGCAGCGGCCCCCACCCCGGCCCGACGCGCTCCCCGCCGGCCCGGCGCTCGCTCTCAACTTCCCGGCTCCCCGCAAACCGGCTCCGCGGGCTCCGGGCGGCCCGCGACGGGGCGGCTCCCGGGCCGGGCGAGGGCCATGGGGGCAGGGCGCGAGGCTCCCGTCCGGACAAACTTCCGCGGCCGCCGCTCCCCGCCCCTCGGTTGGGCGGCCCCGCCGGGCGCCCTTCCCGGAGCCTCGGCCCGCAGCGGTCCGACGTGGGCGCGCGGAACCCCGTGGCTCCGGCCGGCCCGCGGAAACTTTCTCCCGCTCGCCCCCGGTTCCACGCGCCGCCCCCCACCCCCACACACTACTCCCCGGTTCTCGGCCCCCCTCACCTCCTGGGGCGCGGTCTACACCCTCCGGGGCGTCCTGGCCCGCGGCTCTGGGGCCTCGCGCGCCGGGAGACCGGGCGCCGGTGGTTGGAGCTGCTGCTGGCCCCGCAGGGACGGGGGAGTCCCGGGCGGCGACAGCGGCGGCGCGGGCGGCGGCTGCTCCATCTTCCCGGGGCGCTCACGCCGCGGTTCCAACGCGCAGACCCAAGTGGGACATTCGCTACATTGTTGGCATTCCACGGGCGTCACGTGACCCCGCCTCCCGCGTCACTCTCGGCCGCATACCAGCCCGGGCGGGGCGCCTGCGGCCCTCGCTCCTCGGCGGCCGGCCGCCGTGCTCCGCCCCGCCCGGCTCGGCTTCCTGCTTGCCGGCCGCGGCCGCCACCTGCCCACGGCCGCCTCGCGGCCCGCAGGAGCCTGTCGCGGCCTTGCGGGACCGGGCTGCCGTTTTGTCAGCCGGCCCCGTTCTCCCAAGGATCGACCCCCCTCCCTCCCCGCCCCGCGACTGCCCGAGTGTGAAAAGTTGGTAACTCTCGGTACAGCCGCTGTCTCCGTCAGCATCTCCTCCGGTCTTGCTGGAGAAAGTTCGGTGCGGACTAAGTAACAAAGAAGGCCAAAACGCGCGCTCGAATCCATTCGGGCGTGATGCGGGACCCCGCCCCGTGTTTTGGTTAGGAGAAGTGTTGTCTGGTGTGCACAACACAAATGTGGGTTCAGCGTCTCCATTAGCTTTCCTTTGGAGGGCTGTGCATTTGGGGCAAGGCCACAAGCGGGATTGTGCAGAGATGCTGAGGAGAAAATAATATTCCGGAAGCCAAGTCCTAAAGCTGCTTCTCTGGCTCTCCTGATAGCATCGCACTTCCTACCACCACCTGCCAGCGGTGCTGAGATCTAACTACTGAAAGTCACCCCTATTTCCTCCCTAACAAGCTTGGGGCGGTTTACATTTTTAGCCTCAGAACAAACGCCGATGCACCTCATGGTGCCCGCACCGTCTTAACAACCTGTCTAGCCTGCAGCCCCTGGCTCACCTCACCCTGTGTGCCTCCTTCCTCTCTCAATCCCGTAGGGCCTTAGCGGTTCCAGGGTTGCTTTGCAGGCCTTCCTCCTGTTTCTGTCAGCTTGGAGCTCTGATGGCTAAACCGTGGTCGTGCCGCTTGGAATTCAGGTTCCTTTGTCAGTCTCACCTTGTGCTAGTATTGGGCGCAGAGCAGGGCTCCAGCTGATGTTCTGTTATCGAATGATGTTGCGTTCCCCTGTGTGCCTTTTCGCTAATAGCCCAGCTGCGCCCATCTCCACGCCCACCTCGCCCCAAGACACGTGTGCCTTTGAAGGTTCTGTCCCTGCTCCCCCGCTTTCTAAAGTATAAAGTAATTTTTAAGAAACACTTCTGTCAAATGAAAAATACTATAAAGTACAAGATTTAATGGACTTTAAAATTCATGTGTAAGATACATAATAAACATTTTCAGTTGCAATGACCGTTACAGCACTGTTTACAACAGTGGAAGATCTAGGAGGACCCAAAGACCTAACATCTAGGAAAACAGTATTCAAGTGATGGAGTGTAGACAGTAGCCGAGTGAATGTATACACTCTCCATTTGTCAAAGGGTAGATGAACATGGAGAGAATTCAAAACCAATGAGGAATAAAAAAAAAAAAAAGCAGATTGCAGAACTATTTATATACTGTGATGCCATATTTATAAATAAACAAAATCCCACAGAACTTACACTAATCACATACTTTCTGTAAGTATAGACACGAGCGGCAAGTGTCCAGGCGAGCCCCGTGACAGCTGTCGTCTGTGTAGGAGAAGAGGGGAAATTGCTCTGAGGACAGAAAAATGAGGACTTCAGCTTTATCCACAAGATGTGCTTTGTTTGATTTAAAAGACAAATCATTCAATCTCTTGAAAGTTGTTGATTCTTAGTGGGTCAGTTTAGTAATGTGATATATTATTCTTTGTGCCTTTTGCAAAACATCTCTAAAAATTTTTTTCATATATAGAGGGCCAGGGTACTTCAGAAAGTCTGTGGAAAATGATATTAAAAGATAAGTTTATAGGGCCAGTGCTGTGGTGCTGTAGTTTAAAGCCCCAGCCTGCAGTGCCAGCATCCTATATGGGCACCGGTTCAAGTCTTAGCTGCTCTACTTTGGATCCAGCTCTCTGCTATGGCCTGGGAAAGCAGTGGAAGATGGCTCAAGTCCTTAGGTCCCTGTACCCACATGGGAGACCCAGAAGAAGCTCCTGGCTCCTAGCTTCAGATTGGCCCAGCTCCAGCCATTGCAGCCATCTGGAGAGTGAGCCAGAGGATGGAAGACTTCTCTCTCTGGCTCTGCTCCTCTCTGTATCTCTCTTTCAAATAAATAAAATAAATCTTATAAAATAAAATAAATAAATTTCAAAAAATATAGGTTTATTTCTGGTGGAAAAATAATTTGAAACCCATCATCATGTTTTTTTACACAATATGTATTATTTTATTTTCATAAAATGCATTTTCCATGAACTTTCTGAAGACCATTTCTCAATAATTTGGAACAAAGATGAATTGGAAACAAGTCCATTTCTGATATAGGGCCTTGGCTTATGTAGGAGAATGTTATGATGAATGGTTTGGGGATGTATTTTTTTTTTTAAGATTTATTTATTTATTTGAAAGTCAGAGTTACACAGAGAGAGGAGAGGCAGAGAGAGAGAGAGAGAGAGAGAGAGGTCTTCCATCCAATGTTTCACTCCCCAATTGGCAGCAACGACCAGAGCAGTGCCAATTCAAAGCCAGGAGCCAAGAGCTTCTTCTGGGTCTCCCACATGGGTGCAGGGGCCCAAGGACTTGGGCCATCTTATACTGCTTTCCCAGGCCATAGCAGAGAGCTGGATGGGAAATGGAGCAGCCGGGTCTCGAACTGACGCACACACGGGATGCCGGCACTGCAGGCCAGGGCGTTACCCGCTGCGCCACAGCGTCGGGCCCCTTGGATGTCTGTTTATTGACGGGAGTCATTCATTCTTTCCAGTTAGTGTTTGGTGTTTAGAGAATCTGCTGAGACCTATTGGAAACCACACACTGGGGATGCTGTGGTGAACAAGACCACAAGACTGGGGCCAGTGCTGTGGAGTAGAAGCTTAAGCCTCTGCCTGCCATACCAGGTGTCCATTTGGGCACCAGTTTGAGTCCCTGTTGCTCCACTTCCCCTCCAGCTCCCTGCTGACGTGCCTGGGAAAGCAGCAGAAGATGGCCCAAGTGGTTGGGCCCCTGCACCCAACTGGGAGACCTGGAAGAAGCTCCTGGCTCCTAGCTCCTGGCTTCAGACTGGCCCAGTGTCAGCCATTGCCACCATTTGGGAAGTGAGCCAGGGGATGGAAGATCTCTCTTTCTCCTCTCTGCACATCTGACTTTCAAATAAATAACTAAATAAATCTTAAAACAAAAACCACAAGATTTATCCACTAACGGAGCTGACACTCTAGAAGGTATGTTCAAAAAGTGACAAAATATACTATCTAATTTTTTGAAACATCATGTATATTTTGTATATTTTATTTAAAACATTTTTGAAGTCTAGGAAAGCATACAGTTAAATCTTAAAAGTGGTAGTATGTAGGCGGGTGCCACAGCTCACTAGGCTAATCCTCTGCCTGCAGCGCTGGCACCCCGGGGTCTAGTCCCAGTCAGAGTGCCAGATTCTGTCCCGGTTACTCCTCTTTCAGTCCAGCTCTCTGCTGTGGCCCGGGAGTGCAGTGGAGGATGGCCCAAGTGCTTGGGCCCTGCACCCCATGGGAGACCAGGAGGAAGCACCTGGCTTCTGGCTTCGGATCAGCACAGCGCCAGCTGTAGCGGTCATTTGGGGGGTGAACCAATGGAAAGGAAGATCTTTCTCTCTGTCTCTTTCTCTCACTGTCTAAATCTGCCTGTCCAAAAAAAAAAAAGGTAGTATGTGGGCCCGGCACTGTGGCATAGCCGGTAAAGCCGCCACCTGCAGCACTGGCATCCCATATGGGCACCAGTTTGAGTCCCGGCTGTTCCATTTCCGTTCCAGCTCTCTGCTATGGCCTGGGAAAGCAGTAGAAAATGGCCCATGTCCTTGGGCTCCTGCACCTGCATGGGAGACCCAGAAGAAGATCCTGGCTCCTGGCTTCAGATGAGCACAGCTCCTGCCATTGCAGCCATCTGTGGAGTGAACCAGTAGATGGAAGGCCTCTCTCTCTCTCTCTCTCTCTGCCTCTCCTTCTCTCTGTGTGTAACTCTGACTTTCAAATAAATAAATAAATCTTAAAAAAATGGTGATTTTTGTCTTGTAAATCCTGATATTTCTACAGTAGAATAATTACTGACAAAAAGCATTTTTAAATTAAATAATCAACTGCATATAATGTATCCAGCTGGAAGGGTAAGGCAAGGGCAGCTGAGCAGAAAGCCTCCCGGCGTGGCAAAATTGTGATAGAAAAGTTGATTAACATAGTATGAGAGTACTTCAAAAAGTTTATAAAAAATGGAACTAAAAGATGTTTATTTTGCTGCAAAATTGGTTAAAATTTATGCATGGTTCTTTCCATGAACTTTTGGAAGACTCCTGTGTATATATGTGTTTAAGTACATACTGTGTTTTTTTGTGTTCTTGTTTCACACCACGTATCTCCAAACTTGTGTGTTATCTCATTTAGTCATCCAAACAACGGTGGATTTTTTTGTTTTTGTTTTTTTAGATTTATTTATTTGAAAGGCAGAGTTAGAGAGAGAGAGAGAGAGAGAGAGAGAGAGAGAGAGAGGACTTCCGCTCTTTATTTTTAATCAGTGTGGCGTAGGCTTAGCAAATATGCCTACCTACAGAGGAAGGTTCTCTCCCAGCAGACCAGGGTCGGAGCATGAAAGGCCTAGGAAATCAGGAAGAAGGATGCCACCGTGATGTGTTTCACTTGCTTTGAGGTTGTTTCAAGCCCTTATAATTTGTCTCCTTAACTAGATGATAAATTCCTTGAAAACAAGGATCATATTCTTCCCAAAGCCTGTACATAAGGAAACCTCCTAACTGCTAAGTTGAATGTATTCAATGCAGTTTAAAGGCTGCTTTAATACGTCAAATATCAGAGTTTCAAACACCACCTGTTGCTCTTGGCCAGCTCAGAAGTCTATTCCTTGGTTCTT